CTCTCTCTTCTCCTCTCTCTCCTATCTCTGTCGCCGTGTATGCTCGTGTGTTCAGAGGGTTAGAGATGACTGATACATACGATCCACTGGATTTCGAATTTGAAGAGCCCATTCGTATCTCTCCTTCTGTCCCCAATAAAAAGTAAGCCTTCTTTTCCTTTTTCAGATTTTTTAAATTGCAAATCAAAATCAAAATTTCTAAATTTGGGTTCTTGTATTTTTACCGTTCTTTGTCTTTTTTTTTTTGAACTTTCATTTTGCTAAAATTGCTAACAACACTTTTTTCCCAATATTATTGAATATTTAAAATATTGAATATAACATAATAGATAGTGATAGTTTTGAAATATTTTTCAACGTTTATGAAATTGTCAAAATGCACGAATTTTTGTGGGTTAGAAATCCTAGTCCTTGGCCAACGAGGCCTTATTCTACTGAAGAGAAAGAATGAGGGGCTCAAGTTCAAGACTCACCATGGTGTGTACTATTTGTCATTTTTATTGGGTTTTCCTGTTGATATATAAGTTTATTATCCCTGTTATTAGTTTTCGACAATGTGATTATGATACGTAATAGTGATGAAGAATGTTAATGATATTTTGCTCGAAAAGTACAGGAATTTTGGAGGATTGAAGAGGTTTCTTCTAATTGTTTTACATAAATCATTAGATATAGAAAAAAATTGGTACAAGAATGCGCCACTTGTTAACCATAAGATGCATATGCATTTATCATGACTATTATTATTGGGAAGTTTATGCATAGATGTTCACACTATGAATAATTGTTTACATCTTTGATTTACTCATCATACAATTCCAGAACTGAATAGTTCAATTTGGAAAGATAACGGGAAAGGAATAGATGAATTTGGCCTCTCCCATGGCACACTCCTTTGAGGAGCTCTTCTGACTCTTATCCCTCGGTTTGCACAGGATTACAGTAGCCATCTTATCAATTGGATAAACTGAGGCGACAAACACATTATATCTTGATGAAAAATTGAATAAAATGATCATGAAATTCATCCCTCACTTTCCACTGTTTTTTCCTAAATCATAAGAATTATTTGATGATAGATGACCACCTCAAATTATAGTTGAACAAGAAGGAATGTTTACATATCTGTCATGGGGTTTAGAGCGTCGTTATACTTCTGTTCAACTGTTTAAAATTACAATAGAGATTCATATCACTTAATACAGAGGACTGGACGTTTTGTTCTGCTCATTTTTTTTCCTGTTTTTCATAATGTGATCTAACCATTCAACTGTTTAGAATTACAGTAGAGATTTGTATCACTTGATGCAGAGGACTGGTTGTTTCATTTTGCTGATTTTTTCCCTGTTTTTCATAATGTGATCTACCCCGTTTGCCATCCGTCTTCTTGGCTGCTATATATGTTATTTCTCCTAGAAGGTTTCAGTTTGGGGAACATCTGCATCATTTTAAATGATTTTTCTATCTACGCATGTATAGAATTTATCTATGGACAATGCTCTGTTATAGTGACTTATATTTTGTTTAATTTTACAGGAAGAAAGTTATAGGTTTGGATGATCTCTTGGAGGATCACGCAAAGGAGCAAAAGAGGATCAATGAAAGAAAATCCAAACGAAAAAAGATAAAAAATGCTTCTGATTCAGAGGAGGATGAGGATGCTAGAGAAAAAGAACTGTCGAAGTGTGTTGATAAATGCCAAAAAGAGGTTAATTTCATTTAACTATTTTCTACATATATATTTTTGATAACCGTGGATATCCGAGCCAACTTGCGCGCACCTCGACTAATTCCACGAGGCCTAAAGTTTTACGGCCGGGTACTCCAGGACCAGGACTCGAACTAGTGACCAACTATTTTCTATATTTTATTTAAGGTTTTTATGTGAAGTAACTTCTAACACAGTATGTGTTTCCTAGATGGATCAAATAAACGATGACGATGAAATGCCATTGTGGGGTATTCAAGTCTTTGGAGATCAGGTTCCATTTGCTATTGATTGGCATATATTGTACCTTGACAGTCTTAAGTTGCATTGTATGATTAGTTGCAATTTATCTTGCTCATATGTATAACTTGCAGAGAACATTTCCAGCTTTGGAACATCCAGAGCCAAGAAGTTGTTTTATTTTGCAGTCTATCATGAACAACAAGCTCAATTCACTGGTAGAACTTACGATTGAGAAAGGTTTCCACTTATTACTCTCATTTAGTTGTTTCCATAAATTGGTTCCTTTTACTAATTTTGGGAGTTGTGTATCATTTTTTTGATCTATAATTTGAGTGGGATTCTGGACTTCTGAAAAATGCAATACAGCAAAGTGTTTCATTGAAGAGAAAAATTATTCTAATATTTGGACTGTGGTAGGAGAACCTTTTCTTGAAGGGTTGTTGGTGGATGGCTGGCTCTTGAAGCTGATCTTTACACAAGGTCAAGTTGAAAAATCCATCTCAACTTGGATATTTAATTTGAGTGAGTGCAATACCATTGTCAGTTATTTACAAAATGCTTATGTCACATTATGTTAAGCTCTTTCCTTGTGCCTTGCTAGTGTTATATTCATCAAAGGAATGGTTGAGGAAAGCTGCCTGTGAGTTTTGGTGCTCCATTCTCTCACCTGAAGTTGAGGTTGGTTTATCTTTGTTCCATTCAAAGCAGTTTTTCAGTGTATGGAAATGTAACTTCTAATTTCTTTCAATTTTTCGAAGTTTTGTTTACTTTTTATGCTTAAACAGGCCAGTTCATCTGACATCAAAATTGACTGGTTACCTAGCTATTCAGATCTGAAAAGAGCTCTTGACATATATGGTTATCTTCTGGACTCACCTTCTAAGTGTTCGCCTGACATAGATATGATCCATGCTGGTAAGCATCTTATATTTAAACTCCCCAATAATGGTGCATACATATTAATAAAATACTGCATTCTAAGAAACACTGATGACACTACTTGAAATTACTTTCTCCATCTTCTGTTGGTTGTCTGTAAACTTGGAATTGCAGCAGTGAGAAATTCACAACGTATTTGCGGTTCAGCCTAGGATAAAACAGCATGAACAAACTAAGCTTTATTTACTATAAATTTGGGGCCAGCTATACGATTGCTATATTTACTAGCAACTACAATGTACCATATTAGTTTTGGTCTATGTTTCCCTTTTCTAACCCATTCAACTAAGTTACATTTGGGCTTTGTAGAAGATCGCAATAAAATAGATTCTTCTCATTATTAGTTTTTTTGTTTATCTTCACTTGCGACAATTATTTTAGAAGGCCTGGTATCCTGTAGGACGTTTTCATTTCAATTGTTAATAAGGTCATATTCGCTTCTGCCTGCTGTTCATTATCTGTTTAACTCTGCTTTATATCTTCTGCTATGTGAAGGAGAAAAAGGAAGTAGGAAAATGGGAAAGAAAACAGACCTTTGTTCTTGATTAATGAATACGATGATGATTCTTGTCACTTATGGGTGGTACACTAGAACAGATGTTTGAAAGATAGAACTTCATAGAAGAGGCAGAATGAGGGAGATTTCTTCATGTCTCTATGAATGTTTGGTGTGACAGGAGGTTTATTTGAGTCTTTATTATCGAACTTTTCACCAAGCCAATTTTTTATTTGAATTTCATTTATATGCACAGAATGTTAATCATGATATGAACCCAAAATTAAATTTTCTACAGCAACTATTTCATCTTAGCAATTACTACTAGTCCATTTTCTTTAAAGTTTTGGTAAGGGAAAAGTCATTTTGGTATGATCTGTATTTTCCTTTTTGTTTCCCCCCGTCCCCTTTGGCGAGTGGAGGAAAGGGAGCATGAACATTCTCTCCCTGACCCCATAAATCCTTCTAGGTGACATGTGTTTTAGTCCTCTTGATATTTTTGCTTTGGGTTGAGCCAAAATATTAATTTTCTCATACTTTCCCAATTGTTCAAGTAATTTCCCCATTTTTATGCAATGTTCGCTTCACTGCAACAAACTTCTACTTGAAAGGAGCTATCTGAACTAACTGCTCCAAATTGCTTGTGTTGTATAAGCACAATCATGGCGTAGGTAAAAGGTCCTGCGTAGGTGAAGATAGGGATTGTTTTGGAGTAAAGTATACGATATTAAGATCCATCACGTGGCTGATTGTGCTTCACAAGTTGGAAGAGGGAGGGGTAGACCAAAATGAATATGGCCTGTTATGGTTGCCAAGGACCTGGTTGTTTGAATCTTCAAGAATTCGAGTAGATCTAGCAATGATTTGAACAAGTGGCGAAAGAGAATGATGTAATCAATCCCAAATTTATGAGAAACAAGGCTTTGTTTGTTGTATTATTTTCTAGTCTGATAGTTTTCGTGTGACTATTCCTTCTATTTATTTTAGATATGCCACATTCATTATCAATTGTATGCATTATATCAATTTGTTCATGATTGGTCAGTTCCTCACATCCATTTACACTGTCTTAGATTCTGATACAGCAGGACCACCGCAAAATATTAGATTTTGGATAAAATATGTTGCTGCCTGTTGCCAAGTTAGGTATGAACAGTATTTTCTGCGTCTTCGAGTTGTTTGTGTTTTTGTCTTCGTGAATAGAAATTTCATTTATTCCTTTGATTAAAACTTCGGAGTGAATTTGTGATATACAAATTCTTGAGGACGAAGTAGTTTTGCACTGGTGCACGAAATAAGCTCTAATGTTAAACACTAGACAACTTTCACTTATATATGGTTTTCAAGTTTTAATGATTCTTAATGTTGGCGTCATATTTTTTTGCAGGAATACCCATATAATTTTCTCGACTTCGGAAGCAGAAGATTTTCTCGGGGTGATCATTAGTCTCTTCCTTGATCGACAACTTTTGGGCTTGAGTATGATATTGAATGCATGCATGTATTCGGTTATAAGTTTCTTCAAAGAGGAGGAATGGCATGACAGTTGTGAGAGAGTCACAAAATCGCTTGGTTGCAGGTTTCCCTCTGACACTCCTCTTTAATGACTAATCTTTATGTCTACTTTTCTTTCTACTGTGCATTGATTTAGTTGTCAAATACGTGTTTGATGATACATGCCTGATGTTTTTATACTTTTTTTGAAGAAGAAAATTAATGGAAGTGGCATTTACAGAGGAAGTCACATTGAGCTGCATTTGAAGCTCGGTTAATATTATTACTGACTGGATAAAATGATCCACGAAGCTTAATTTATTTGATAATCATGAAATAGGGTTCAGAACTAGTTGGAAAACTCTAAATGTTGGATATGAATGAGAGAAATCAATCACCTTCACGTTGGAAAGTAAAATTCGATTTTTTGTATAATTCTATATGGTTTCTTGATTATTTAAGATATGCATTTCATGTGTACGTGTTTCTTGGGCATCAAATCCAGCCCTCTTTGTATTTTGATATTTGAGTCCTTCCCTGCTCTTTGCTAAAAATGTGCTGTTACTGATGAAGATTGCCTAGGGATATCAATTGCTTGAGAACGGTTGAGAGTATATCAGGAAGCAATGGACGAAGTAAACACCTGCGAAGTGCAGTGGCAAAACAATTTCTAATAAGATGCTTGCAGGAGAAGGTGACAGTTGAACTTAATATCCCTATTGTCTCTAAATTCATGCATGTATAAATCATTTTAGGATCGAAAAAAAATTTCTAAGTTTGGAGTGATATTCTCTTTTAATCATATGCTAACCCTAAAAGGGATTGAGCTTGGGTATTGTAACTTTAATTAACTAGTCTTATTTTTATATTATGCTGAAACTGAATGTGAACTTGTACTTCGTTCTACATTATCATATAGACTGTAACACAAAATTTTAAGGGTTTTGTTCCTTATTCGTAGGAATGTGATGCAGAGGATATCCTAAGAATGCTAATCTCAATTAATGTGAAGGACAAGAATTGTGATCTTTCCAAGATGTACATATACTTGGGTCTGGCAGACAACTGGCTGTTATTTCTAAGATGTTTTTTTGTAGTAGTCTTTTGAGAATTGTTGAGATGAACTTTACATTGACACACTGCATTGAACCTAATTTAATATTTTTATTTATCGAAACAATTTATGGATTAATTTTGTTTTGTTATTATTATATATTTGTTGGTAATCAAATAAATAAATAATTTTTAAAAAATTAAATTGATATTTACCGCATTCAACATAACGCCGTAAAAAGTGCGATACTTTTTACAGCGTGCATAAGCATGCCGTAAATTGCACCTTTTATGGCGTACAGCTGAACGCCGTAAAAACGAATTTATGCTATTCTATAGACGACGTACTCTGCAAACCATAAAAGGTAAACCACTTTTTAAGGCATGGCTTTATATGGCGTGTGGCCGCACGCCGCAAGCCGTAAAAAGTACATTTTGTTGTAGTGAAAGTCAACATATAAAACATGGATCCCGGATAAAAGTGCGTGTTCATTGTATGTGTACTATTAATGACGGAACTCTCCACTCTTTTTTAAATAGTCACACCACTCGTATAAATGCATCTCATTTTCAATTTGATTACCTGTCCAAACAAAAGTTACGTGAGTCCCATACTTTGGTGTACAAGAGATGAGTGTACGTTATTATTGCACTGTCAATGATGAAAACCAACCAAATTCTTTTTAAATAACAATTTAGATCATCAAAACATGTTTTGTTTGATATTTTTGAATACCAGACTAGACAAAAGTTGATTTAAAAGAACAATGATCCCATGCATTGGGAAAACAATAAATGCGTGTTCATTATTGTTGTACATTTGAAGACACAAAAGACAACACTTTTGAAGTAGTCGTCATTCGAAATTTTTGCATAACATTGATTTTTTTAATGCCTATACTCCCTCAATAACTTTTTCGTGTTGAACCATGAACGTACAACACATGAACACAGTGGCAGATATTTTTTACCTGGGACGGGAAATTTGTTATTTTAATTTTTTTTGAAAAAATAAAATAACATTAATGAAAATAAGTCAATATATTAGTACAATTGTAGGTTATGCATTTTCATACTTTAAAAATGTTGTATAATTACATCATTATAAATATTGTCAAATACATCATTCTCAATATATGCCACCAAACCATTGATCTCCCATCACATCCGATTATGCAGTCGATTCTTGACAATCTTCATTTCTCGTTGACTATGTAATACAGTCCAAGAATAAAAAAATAACATAGGACAACTAATGACAAAACCATAAACATCAATAAAGCCTACACTCTTTACCTTGTGCCTAGCCACACTAGATGACGCAAATTGACTAGCTTTATTCACAATATATAATCACGAATTAGTTGGCTTTCAATAATAGCATAAAAGTGGTGGTAATGAATTAGTTGGATTCTTTATTCAGTTTGCACTTTTCATATGTGTCCAAACCGGGAATGGTTTTCTTCATATGAAACAGTTACAAGGGGTTCCGTGATAATGGGAAGCAATAAGCCTTGTAGAATTGTTGGGATTGGTAACGTCAAAATCAAGATGGTTGATGGAAAGGTTAGAACTCTTGGCCAAGTTCGACATGCTCTAGGTATCAACAAAAATGTGATTTCCTTAAGTACTCTTGATGCAAAGGGGTACAGGTACACCGGTGGAGGTGGAGTTCTAAACGTTAGCAAGGGTGTCCGGGTTGTGTTAAGGGGGCAGAGAAAGTCTCGGTTATATGTGTTGGAAGGTTCGGCGATCACGGAGGAAGCAGCTGTAGCTTATGGTTTGGTAAGCGGTAACTCGGGAAGAGTTGTTCGTGATAATTCGAACAAGGCTTCTAGTAGCTCGGGTGGAGCTGGTTGTGATCTTGTTGATCGTGTTGCTCATGGTGATTTGAGCAGATTTGACAACTCAGGTGGAGTTGGCATTGCTTATGGTGATTCAAGCAAGTTTATTGACTCGGATGGAGCTGGAAGTGAACGAGATGATTCAAGCAAGGATGGCGCGCAAGGTAGTTATGCTGGTTTGTAGGGATTGGATGTAGTTCACACTTGGTGGGTGTGCTCGAAAGGGGCATGGCGTGACCGGGGGGGCATGGGGTGTCTGGTGGAGACATGGTGGAAGAGTTGGAGAATGACTTGAAGAGTGGAGATTAATTATTTTTTTATGAAATTTGTGTCAAGGTGGAGTTTGTTAGGATTTGTGAAAAAAATTCTATGTGATTTAGGAGTTTGTTGCATATAGGAAGCTTGATTAATTTTGGTTT